AACTATTTTTAATATTTAATTTATATATTTATATATATATATATATATATATATATATATATGTTAGAAATACTATAAATAAATAAAAGTTAAACCCTGCACGGAATCCAAATCTCAAAAATCAAATTCCAGCAAGAAAAATGACATATCCTTATAAATTAAATTAGAAGAAATGAATATTGTACCGAAATTCGACTCTTTAAAAATCAAATTTTAATCATATACAATAAAATAATTTATATCCGTAAATATATTATGAAAGTTTATTTTTATATTTTTTTAAAAAAAATTCTAACACAGTAAAAACTTGGTCATATCAGGGTAGAGGAGGTCCTTAATGGTTCTCTAGGACGGCTAGGGCTCTAATAAAGACGATCTAATCTATCTGCCTTTTCATGACAGTGCTCTGCTCCACTAACAATTAGTATTAGAAACTAGAAAGACGTTGTAAGACCCATGTAATGAAATTTTTATTCTTCTCAGTCGATCTCCCTTTAAAGTCTGAATCGTTCTCCTTTCGGTGTATCAGAAAAAAGGCTGCCACTGCAATCCTAGATTGGTTATGAAAGAATCTACACAAGTTGATCATGTGATTCGCTTCTTGTTCTTGTTCTTGTTCTTGAGAATTTATTACCATTTTCCTCTCTCCTATGTGTTCTGTTCTTTCTTTCATATTACATTAGTGAAACAAACATATATAGTTCAAGTCCAAGAAGATGCTTCCTCATGAGTCGTAAGCGATTAATATTTAACATGAACAACAACCTGATGCAAATGCATGTCCTCGTGCGTCAATTTCGTGCAAATAGTTTCTTTATGCCCTATCACACAATTCATACAGGGACCCTCTCATAAATGACCATAATGACAATGATTTTTTTCTTAATAAAATAGTATATATTATGTTTTCTTTTTTCCTTTTAAATATGAGGTGTTTTTATAATATTTGACTTTATAAAAATGTTAATCTAAGATGATTTAATACTTTAATTTTATCAAATAAAATTAATTTAATATATACATTTCAAAATATATTAAAATATAAATACTTTAATTATTTTTAAATTATTATTTAATTTTAACAAATTTTGATATAACCATATAAAGTGATATGAACTTTCAATTTGAAGGTTGAATTTAAAAAATTCACATTTAATATAAAGTTATTAAATGATATAATACTTAGTAAAAGTCACAATACAGTAAAATATTATGTTATTTTTTATTATTTAATATAATAAAAATCCATAATTTTTAAATAACATTTTAAAGTATTCTTAAAAATATTTATGATCAATCAAATAAATTTTTATGATTTTTATGAATCATAATTTTTAGAATTTAATATTTTCATGAATCATAAGTTTAAGGATGAAAATAGTTTGTCTATGCCAAAAGCAATATTAATTTTTCTTGAAAAATGTTGTTATAAAAAACAAAAAAATTATTATATTGATTTTAGTAATTTGATTCCTTCCAATAACTTTTTCTTTTCTATATTATGTCTTGTTTGACAATTCAATTTGATTGCAAGCATTAATCTTCATAACGTTCGCAAAAAATGTCTTATCATGTTTGTTTAACCCCAAGCGTGTGGTTCAGTGGTAGGGGTTGATCCACGTTTGAGTAAGGTCAGGAGTTCGAATACTCCAGAGACGAATAAAAAAAAAATGTTTGTCTATCAAAGTGTTGTTTGATTATAATGAATGAGTGTCAGCTTTATAGTAAAAACTTAAAATTTTATACTCAAATTTTTCCAACTATTTTATTTATTTATAGATTTTCATTTTCATTAACTTTATTTGGTTGTATAATAACATTCATCTTTCTTTTTCCAAAACAAAATTAGTTTTTTAATTCATAAAAATAACTTAATTATATTAAATTACGTAATTATAAGTATATAGATTCTCACAAAATATTTAAAATTATTATTATACTTTTTTGATAATTTATCAGAAAATATCTAATCTAAAGGATTTAGTCAAAAAGATCTAATACAGATGATTTAGTTAGGTATTATATCTTTACCTTTTCATGTTTGTGATTGTTGAGTAAATGTGTCCTTCTGGTTATTTGTCATAGAAGGGATCTAATTACGAGTCTGGTCAAGTACTTCTATCAATCATACTCCTATCAAATCAAGTATTCAACTCTCTAAAATGTTAACACAAATTTGATTTCAAACTTATATTTAACACAATTTTCCTAATAATAATTATGATTGAATATCAAAATATGATATCTAATATCAAATAAATATTTGCAAAATTTCAAGATTCCCAATGCTCACAAAGACACAATAATTAGTAAGTAATACGTATAAAAATTCTCTTTCTACGCAAAATATACCTTTTAACATAATTATAAGTCTAATTGTTTAATTTTTTATATATATAAAAACACTTCTTTTTAATAAAATAAGTTTTTTTTATTTACTTTTTGTTATGTTTGTCTAAATTTTTATATATGTTAAATTTAATCACATAAAATGCAACTTTACATATTAATTTTGTGCAAGTGTTAGGTAGTTATTTATATCCTTTGTGACATTTATCATTTTTCATTGCATTGTAACCCTGTCAACCACTCTATCGTGGCCAACACCACCCATGCGCCGTGGAGTCAAAATCACAATTTACTTGACATAGAAAATTGGGTTTTAGCGAAGGGCATAAGGGTCAACTTGTATTATAACAAAGGGTAAAACAAATCTAATTAGAGATACATATATCCTAATAAAATGTAAAAAATAATGTTTATATTAAATCTCCGACAAACAAATCATTCAAATATATATCATAATAAAAAAAGGTTTTTTTTTTTTTTTTTTTTTTTTTTAATTTAAACTTTTTGAATGGACTTGTTTGGTTTGTAGGATATTGGTGTTGTGAATTAGGTTGGTGTTGGTCGGTCCAAGTGCAAAGTCCAAACCATTCTGAAACTTTCTGGCGCCCTCAAATTGACGCCACGAATCTCTCCAATTCGGTGAACAAGTATTTTAATTTTGAAGGTTTCTACGAACCAAACCTAAACATTACGAATGTTGATGTTTTGAACGAAAAGTTTTTCTAATGTCACCAACACATTCCAATACCAATTCCGACACGCAACTCAGAATCGGAGAACGGGCTTTTTCCGCCGCCGGTGCCGCCTTCTTGTCTGCCATCATCGTCAACCCCCTCGATGTCGCCAAGGTATCTATCAAATTCTTTTATTAATCATAGAAGCAAAACACAAATAAAAAATCCAATTTAATTATATGAATAAAACGTACTCTGCTTTCAGACAAGACTCCAAGCACAGGCTGCAGGTGTTCCCTACCAGGATGCTTGTCGAGTGCCATCATCTTATCAAACTAACACGGTAATCATTCTTCAAAGTTTTAGTTAAATTTGGCTATGTACAATTTTACTAAATTTGTTTATTTTCAGATAATTAGATGTCCTGCTATGCACTCATTTTCCGGCTCTGAATGTCCTACTGGATGTAACCGCTATAAAGGGACATTGGATGTTCTCTATAAAGTTACACGGCAGGTAAGTGCATGTGGTTATTAAACTAAATTGCAAGTTTAGTTTTTATTCTCTCTCAACTGTTGTGAAGATAACAACAGCTGTTCACTATGTGAGTGCTTCTGCTTAGCGGATTGTTTTCTCATACAATAGTAATTTCCAATGGGTTTGTATTGATTTGGGGTCATGTCAAGTCAAGGTGGTGTTTCCTTGTTATTATTATTTTTGCTTTAGCTAATACAAGGTGAAACAAAAAACATGGGAGTGCCACTTGCTGCGTAATATTATTGTGACAGTACCTTAACTTCCACTGATACACAAGACATGCACCTGATTGGGGATAGTATTAGATGGATAGAACTGTTTATGATGGAGAATATCCTTTTGGGTTGTTATAGGTTTGATATGGAAACTTAGGTAATAAGTTTTGCTTATTTATTATGTAGACATATGACCCTCTCAAGACTAGGTCTGTAAAAGTGGGGGTGGGGGAAATCGATTACTTGTATTTTTATAGGCTTTCATGATGAAGGGGAATTTCTGCGGGTACACATCTGTTTAGGTTCAATTGTAACGGATAACTTCCTTTTGATTTTAAGGATGAGATGTTGTAAGTCGGACCATAAATAGATTTATTCACAAATATGGTAGCTGGTAATTTTGTTCAAGCATGCATCGTGTAGAAAACATTGTGGAGTGAATTTTGTACTTGATTGCTTGTATTTTTTTTCTCTTCGGCTCACGTTAATAACTTACTATAAGAGGGTTCAAAAGGGTGAATTTTGCAGGAAGGCTTTATGAGATTGTGGAGAGGCACAAATGCAAGTTTAGCATTGGCTGTGCCATCTGTAAGCTCTCTTTCGAGATCTGGAATTCTGTTTTGAGCCTTACGGTTTACTTTAGGGGATGACACTGTTCATTTTGTCTCCTTATCTCATATATAAGTTATATACTAATTGTCTTTTGCTTTTTTGTTGTCAAATAGGTTGGAATCTACATGCCTTGTTATGATATTTTCCGTAACATGATGGAGGAGTTTACAACTCAGAATGCATCAAGCTTAACACCTTACGTTCCATTAATTGCAGGATCAATTGCACGCTCATTTGCTTGCATTTCTTGTTATCCTGTAGAACTTGCTCGGACTCGCATGCAGGTAAAAAAATTAAATGCTAAAATGGAGGGAGGTTGAAATTTTCTTTTCCTTACATGTTTTCTCTTGTGCTTTAGGCATTTAGAGTAAACCATGGCAAGCCTCCAGGGGTGTGGAAAACATTGCTTGGAGTCATCCACCCTGCTAATGGCACAAGTATTTTTGAAAACTGTAAGTGTACAATAGGCATCTTCTTTGATTTATCTCTGTTTAACTTTGGAGTTAATTCATGTTTAGGCACACTTCGCTTTATAACCTTTGTTTTTTAAATCAATTGCCAAATTTTCAGCTTCCATTGCACTGTATGATGTCCAGTTCTTTTGGTTGCATCTGTTAGTAAGTAGTAACAAATGTGATTACATATTTTGAACAGTACGGAGGTATCGTTTCTGGTGGACTGGCCTCGGAGCACAACTTTCTCGGGACGTTCCATTCTCTGCAATTTGCTGGTCAACCCTTGAGCCAGTAAGATTTTGTTATTGAAAAAAAAAAAAAGATTTTTGTTTGTTTGGGGAATTGTGTTTTGACTTTGAAGCTACTTCACAGATTAGGAAAAACATTCTTGGTCTCGTGGGTGATGAAACAAGTGCAGCCACTGTCCTTGGGGCAAATTTTTCTGCTGGTTTTGTTGCAGGAACTATAGCATCTGCTGCCACATGTCCACTGGATGTGGCTAAAACTCGACGACAAATAGAGGTTCTTTCTCAAAACCTTGCTTTTAGTGCATATCTTTCTATTCACTTCAATCAACCTGTCCCTACCAAGAAAAGGCAGAAATTTGGACCTTGCATCATTAGAAAGGTGAAATTTATGTTCTGAAAACACTATGCAAGCTGCTGACTTAAATCCAACTTCCGGTTTGGCCTTTAAAACCAGCAAGCTAAGCCTTAGAAATCAGAATAGTTTGTTCTCAGATAGATGTGTCATTTAAGAACAGTAAACAGTACCAACTTTTGACTCATTTTGGGTGTTCATATTTTCAACTATTCATGTTTACATTATCATGCATAAACTTGACATCGAACTTCAAATTCAATTAAAAGTTGTACGCAAGTGCGACCCAGTTAGAATTTTTAGCCATTGCTAAACTTTGTAGGTTTGGTTCACAAGGCAGATTAACACAGTCATTGATATGGATTTCCATCAAGTCTAATCTTTAAAAAATGATGAGTAGACAATTTTCTTTACAGGGACATTTTTCCAATGTTTTGGTGGGATTCACGTACATTGAATTAATTTGCATCCATAAAATATACAGTTTGATGACTTCATTTGCTAAAACATGGTTTCATTTGCATTTTCCCAGAAGGATCCTGAAAGAGCATTAAAGATGACTACAAGAACAACATTAATTGAGATTTGGAGGTATGTGCATCTTCCTAAACTGGTTATTGGTATGAATCATCTGATTTCTTGCTTTGTAGATCACATTATTTCTGGAGTAAAGAGGGAGTTTTAGGACATAGGCTTTGGACTGACCTTGGTACTCCACACTTTTCATGGGACAGGGATGGAGGATTAAGAGGGCTATTTACAGGTGTTGGTCCTAGAGTAGGTCGTGCAGGTCCATCGGTTGGGATAGTTGTCTCCTTTTACGAAGTTGTCAAGTTTGCCTTACAGAATAGACATCCAACTTCATCATAGAAGATACTTGCATTTATCATCTGGAGCTTTCAATTCCATTTGTAAAGTTAGCTTAGTAGTCAATTACATTACATCAATGACAACAATCTTTATCTCATGCCCAGAAGAACCATGTTCCTGACATTGCAAGTAGTCAGGGCACAAGAGGCAACAAAACACTCGGCAGTGGGCACCTACTAATAAGTAACAATCCATTTATTGTCTTCCACATGCCTTGACTCCCTTTAGATACGCATTAGTACAATTTTTCATCATTACATCCTTAATTATGAGGAAATTTAATGTGTCTTTGTACGAATTGAGACAGAGACGACCCTTACCAGCAAGGTGATTAGCTTGCTCAGAGAAAATAGGTTTCGTTTTGTTTGATTAACTATCACACGTCCAATTCATTAACTTTTACAGGCAAATATCTGTTTGCGAATATTATGATAGATCCATGTCTTAGGAAAGGAATATTTTTATGGAGTCTAAGCATTAGACATGAGAATTTCTAGTTCTGTTATGAATCAACGGACAAACAGGTAGATACAATTTTGATTATTTTACGTTACCTTTTTTGATATTTCTTTTACATCTTTGAGAAAGCAGATCTTTTTCTATCTTTTATAATACTTAGCATTTTATCACATTTAAAGGAGTGTAAAAGGATTATAGAAAAAAAAAAATCTGAAATGAACATTTTATTATCAATTTTGTTACTCTCAAGAGCCTAGCGCTGGGCCACATTAATGGTGAGACACTCTTTAAAGTACTAAAAATGTAATGATGGAAATGGGAAAAATATGAGATTAAGACGTACTGATATGTTGAGTGTATGTGTTTTGTTGAGTATTACAACTACGTAAATGTATCTCTCCCTTCTCCTCTAAGATAGAGATCTTAAAATATTATAAACATCAGTGGACTTTTAAAATTGGAACAGGACAGTAATTTTTTTGGTGTTTGGGTGTGCAACATTGAATTTTAAGTGAAATTTATTTTGAGCGAAATAATTTATGTTAGATGTTTTTAATACAAAGTTTCGGATCTAACACCAAATCAATTGTAAAACACAACGTATGGTTTAACCACTGAAATCTATATTTACGAGCAAACTCATGTCAACATTACGAAATAGCATAGAAGCACTAATGCATTATACACTTCGAGATTGATGTGCGTCAGGGGTATCTATTGTATAGCAGTTTTAAATTTGACACGGATCCATTGTATAACGTTGAATCAATGCACACTAAATATTTGAAGTTGTCAACATTTGGTGGGTATTTCAACGTTAATATTTAATTAAAACTTTAACGTAGTTTTAGACGATTCAAGGTAGGTAAATTCAATCGTACACTTGATAACATAAATTTTACGTAATACAATGCATTTAGAAGAATAATAAATTACCATTAAGGTGTAATGATAATGATAATAATAATCAAACTGAATACACTATTTCCTCCTCTAGCAATCATCCACCATCAAGTAACAATGAAAGAGGTAACATAATGTAAAATTTTGGGGGATTAGAAGAGAACAAAAGAAAAAAGGAAATAGAAGATATTTTAAAACACTCGTTATAAATTATAATGTCCTTTTCCATGAAATAAATTGAAGCTGAGCCCCTACTATGTTCAAATTCTATGATAAAGCAGCATCAGAATTGATGGGAAGAAGCATCAAAGGGGTGGATGAGGTACGTCAGCACCAGTGCCACAAGCATCAACACGTATGCAATCCCTTGGTCTATTGAAGTACCTGAAGAATAACAAGACAAAATAAAAACATCAGTTAAAAACAAAAAGAAATTCAGTTACTGTCATGTCGTGCTGTTTTATCCACCAGCAGAAAACTACATTGGAAAACAAGTGTCATTTCATTATAACACCTACGGTGAAAAAATACATGTTAAATTATCCTGGGATCTAGATCTCCTCAACTGAATTAGGTTCCAACACTACCACCACTTTTCAAAGACCATATTCAAGTCAAAATCTCACTGAATAAGTTTTTTCATAAGCATTTTTAGAATAGAAAAATAAAAAGAACAAATGAAATAAACTTCTTTATAAGTTAATTTAATTTATAAAAAAAACTAATATACACAAGGGAGGATTCGAACTCCTATCTTGTTTAAGCGTGAATCAACCCCTACCGTTGAACCACACGCTTGGGGTCAGATAATTTCTTATTAATAAAACAAAAGGCCGAACAATTTGTTGGAGACATGAACAAATTTTAAAATTGAATGCAACATTAGATTGTTGATTCTTTCACAAGGAGAAGGAGAAAAAACTTCAATAATTTTTATGAAACAAGGAATGGGAGAATTACCATCACTGGTTGGAGCAGGAGCAGGTGCAAGGGATTGTGCTTCAAGAACAGCAGGTGAAAAAATGGCAAAGACAAAAGTATAGATGGCCAAAACTTCGGAAGCAGCTTTGAAAAATGCCATTTTTATTTCACAGTCTCACTTGGAAGCCTTTCTAACGAAAAACAGTTCAATGTGTTTAGAAAACACTGAAATGGAGCCACTTTTATATGGAAGAAAGTCAGTGAGAGTCAGAGGTGTGGTAGTTTGATGTGAGCCGGTAAATATGAAATATGATGGCATCATTGTAGGGTTTTCAGTGTCTCTCTTCCTTCTCTTTCGTTCAAATGGGACCACCTGCACGTCTTTTCTTGTGTTAATTTGAATTGAAGATAACAAGGCCATGTGGTAGTTGTTTATTCTCTTTTCAGTCTTTTCTCTTTTTCATTTTGTTGTTAATTTGCTATATATGTATGTGACTTCATTAATCTTTCTACCCGTATGTGGTTATGCTTTGCAAAACAAAATTATAGTTTTTTCATTCAATAGACTCTTTTGCATAGACATCTTGTTTTTATTCTCTTAATGTTTTTCGTCGCTTTGACCAAAGGAGTGGAAAGAAAATACTATTTTAGTGTGACAATAAAATATTGTGGATCAGTTGCATGATCCCTATTTCTCTGAACTTGGAATTATTTAGAAGATAATGGTTCATTTGGCATTTTGAAATTATTGTTCGTAATATTAATTTTAATTTAATTTTTTTAGAACTAAAAAGAAGAGTTTTAATAAACAATGTTAGTTTAGGTAGCAAGTAGCAACGACTACGTTGACAATGGTATATGCTTTTGAGTCAATTGTTGATGCTTTGATAAACTCAAAACCCCTAAGAAAGTTCGAATTGGGTTTGTTTGTGGTGGAAAGAAAGAGGAATGAAATGCATTGGTTGTATGTGACGATGGACCACCTATTGATATTTTGAAGAGGCCACAAGATGTTGTAATGCATTGATCTTCATCTGCACTTTGGTTTGGAGATGGTGAATCCCGTATCTAAAGGTGTATAAACATTGAAAAGAGAACATCCCATGTGCTCTTGAATCATGATATGGCTTCACACTATCATATTCTTTCAACGCATTAGTACTAGCAACTAATAACTATTAACTAGTAATAATGCTTCTTGCTATCTTCTGCTAATCCTATCACAACATTTCCCAGCTACACCACACGGAAATAGATTCTCGGTTGCATCAATTATAATACAAATACTGACATTTATTTCATCTAAGTTCCTAACCTTAATCACTTGCTAACATTTTAGTCTTTAACTTTATGTCAATATTATCACTTAATTTGTTTGTTTTTTTTTTAAATTAGACTAATATGATCGACAGGTTGCACTTATAAAAATTTATTCAACTTCAAAGACTAATGTGACAATGTGTATGAGACTACAAGTTATGATGCATCGGAAATACTTAATGAAAAGGGGGTGAAAAAAATGGGAACTAGACGAAACACGGAAGATAGAATCTATGTACTCATAATTTATGTATGACAACTGAACCAACTAAGCTGACTTGAGAAGACATGTTAAATTTTGCACATCGTAGTTAGCTTTTTAAATAGATAATTATGCTATTGACATGCTTTGGACCGTTTTCGTTCAGACATTTTGTATCCGTTGTAATTGATTTTTTTTTAAGAAATTAATTATGATAATCAATTTTAAAAAATTAAAATAATATTGTAATTGAAATTAGGCCTTTTTTATTCTTTAGTTGCCAAATTGGTTTTTGGTTACACTACATTTGATTGTTACCAGATGAAATTAGGGCGCAACCATGTGTTTTTTTCTACCAAGTCCCTTTCTCTAATTTATTATTAGTAGACAAACGCCACTGGTCACGGTGTCGATAATTGAGGAATCCAAAGCAATTCAAAGGGACCGTATAATAAAAGGTGAATCTCTGCACCACGTGAATCGTGTAAATCAATGCCAACATCAATTTAAATGTTTTAAGATTCATGCTAAAGCAACAGCAAGATAACCTAACAAACACGTCAGATCCAGATAATAAAGCTAAGTTTCTTCATTCTCTACATTTCAATGACCAAACAACCAACCAACCAACCATATACATTGCTGAAAACGAATCAATACAGAGAGATTCTGTACCCAATCTCCCTTGGGCCCCAATGATTAGCAAACAAATACAAACCAAATTAATCACACGGCAAACCATCTCATAACACCAAAAAATATTGAAAACTTAATCAGAAACCTTGTTGATCTCACAAAAATCCTTTCCTTTTTGCGCTTCCTTTGTGGTACCTCCAGTGATTTGGTTCAGGCTTCTCACCTTCCCATCAAGTATTCAAAAGATTCTCAGACACATGATAAAACTATTTAAAAGAAACACTGTGAGGTTTAAATTATCACTCAACCATGTGGTTCTACCTATTTACGAAACTCCATAGATTTGACTTCAAGTGAAAACTCGACTGGCAACATAATAAGTTTCATTTTCAGCGGATCACATATTCAAATTTAAACTATTTTAATAAAATTGTGTATTGCAATATAATTCCTATTTACTAGTCCAACAAAAGACAATTGAGGCTATTAAATTAAATCATTAGAACATGCATTTTACCAACGGGTACGTGTGAAGTTAGATCTTACAAAGTACATCAAATTCACAAAAAATTATATAATTTAAAATTAATTGATACAATGATACACCATTTTATTTTAACATATACAATATTTAAAGTATGAGTAAATATATATAATTAGATTACATTCCTACAGATGTTGAAATTAGGCAAAATTAATCAGAAAGTCCCTGAACTATTTGAATATTTTTAATTAGGTCTCCAAACTACAAAAGAAAAATGTTAAGTCCTTGAAGTTAGTTTATGACAGTTTAAAATAGTAAGAAAATGATAAATTTTAAAAAAACTTGTAGTGAATACAAAAAATGAGGACTTAATGTTAGGTCCCTGATAAATCTTAAGGACTTAATTAAGAAAATTGTAAAAAATGAGTAAAGACTCAATTATTGAGGAACTAGTCAAAAATTCTCATATAATTCGGGGACCTATAGTTTAATTTAACCTTAAAATTATATAAAATTTAATATGCACGTATAATCATCAATGATAGTATTAAATGTTCCAAAACCCACCGTAAGGTGAAATAAAAAATGGAGAGATGGGGCAAGGCAGAATAGACAAAATAACACCGAAAGTAAAATATTATTTTTTTTATGGGAAACAGACTCAGACAGCATGCGCGTATACTTTCGCACGGTAAAGACATTTCAAGGAAAGCAAGCCAAAAAATTGCTCCAGGCGGATTTGAACCTAAATGGTGTGCATGCAAGGTAACCACATTTAACATTCAATTTCAATCTTCATCTTTTCCTATTAACTAGCAAATATCATTTTTTTTTAATATAAATGCAAATATTTAAAAACTACAAGTTCAGATTTAGAATTTGTTTGAATATAAGCTTATAAGCACTTTTGAAAGCTTTTCTACTCTCTATTTTTAATAGAGAAGCTCTAAAAAATACTTCTAACTTGTATTCAAGGAAACCCTTGGAGGGAAAAGATAACGTTTAAAAAAAATAATAATTTGAAAGTACAAGTATTTAAATTTTAAGATGTAGGACATTTTAGTATGAAAAAGATAAAAGTAATTTAAGAAAGTGGTGAGTGAAGGAGGGCAAAAAAGAGATTTTAATGCAAAATAAATATTTTATAACAATAATTTGAGAATTTTGCAAGATATAAAAATAAGTGATAAATAATGGTAAAGCCACATGTCACAAGAAAAAAAATAATAGAATGAGATATTCCCATGTCCAACCAAGGATAAAAAGAATACAACAACAGCAAAAGATTGCAATTTTATTTATCTTGATATAGAAAGAAAGTAAAATAAAATCCAGAAACATAAAGTAAGCCTAAATTATGGTCTAATCATAGCTTACTTGGTTTTTTCACGCTACTGATTTGGATCCAATGATCCCGTAGCATTGCCTTCTCCTGTTAGCATGTTGTTTGGATCCTAAAAAAGGGGGGAAATTAGCAGTATGCAAAATGAGCTTAAAACGGCAAGTGAGGTTATAGAGCATTTACCTCCATTCCCCATTTGATATAATCCGGGGACTCACAGGCTTTATATTCATCAACCAAACTCTCAATTATATCCCTTGATTCATCAAATTCTGAGAGGTCATTGTCCTGTCAATTTTTTATTGATGTTATCACATGAAATGACCAGTAGTACATGAAGATGCTACAGGCCAAAGAAGTATTTAAAGGATGCAGATTGGTATCAGATTATGCATATGAAAGTGTCACACTTACAGCAAACATTGGGAACTTCCTGTAGGCATCTATAAAGGCTTGTTTCTTTCTCAACTTCTCATACTGGCTCAAAGTTTTACTGAAAAGATGACGGATGCTAGTATGGCTTGCAAGCATAAGGCCACTGACCTACCAAATGTAGCACCTATAGGTTATTTCTTAACCCAATTTATTGATTTTTACCTCGGAATGTAAACCATTTTCCAAAAAAACATGTTGACTATCTTCAGTATAATAGATAAAATACGCAGGAAAGTAAGATAAGCATTACAAGAAAGACTGAAAGAAAAAGTATATAGAGTCCCACCCTGTGTGAAGTTTGAACATATGGAGACTTCCTCGATAGAGCAACCTACCAGAAGTGTACGAAAAGAAAAAATATCAGATTGTGTCTTAAAACTAAATATAAAGGAGACAAATTACCCATCCGCCACTTTAACTTGCTTTGCCACAGAATGCAGACCTGAATACTAGCAGGACCCCACTCAATAAAGTTAACTAGTTTTCTTTCACGTATCCTCTGCAAACTTTCATGAACCTAAATCCATTCAAACAGATAAAATCATGACATGGCACAGCGCTGTTAAAATATTTACATACTAGAAAGTAGAAACATGATAGTTCACTATCATAAGTCAATCTGGGCAAGCAGCAACTTGATGAAAACTTTTAAAAATACAAATAGCTAGAAAGGCTTGCCAACATCAAAGGAAGATTAATTTAAATTTTTCTAACACCTATAAATTTTTCAAGGATTTTGACTAAAGTATTGAATTGCTTAAGATTTTGTGACAGAAGAAGCAAAATATTTAATTTGAATAGAAGCAGCAAATTGGTGCTTCACACCTTCACCTACAAAGCAATTTATAAATATATATATATATATAGAAAAAAACTATCTCTTCATAATAATGTTTTTG